TTACAATAATAATAATAATAATAACTGCTTCACACAGCAACCAAAAGGGAACAACGGCACAAGGTTTTTTAGGCAGTATCAGAAATAAGCAAGGCACTAATCTCTGACTTGTTTTCCTCTTGAACTGACCTTTCAAACGAAAAGACCACAGTACAAAGCACTATACTATCTATGGCAGTATAAAAAAACACAAAGACGAAATAGCACCATAATTGCATTTGTTGGAATTGCATGAATGCAGTTGTTGTACTACAACTGCAGTACCGGGTTCATCTTCACACAGCTATAGGTCTACCCATCATGAGTTGGAGTGAGAAAATAGGAGGAGAGATTTGAAGTAACTCCACTCATTTCTACAACCACCCATGAGAGTAACAGCTCTGGCTTTGGGCATATCTATTGATGAAAACTGTTTCCTTAGATGATAATTCTGCCAAACTATCAATATCAGCTCTTATTCTTGCCCGAAATTGACAAAACTATTTCATCCCCTCTTATACTGGAGTAAGTAGTTGAACACCAACACGAAGAACACATGAGTCATTTATGCCAATTGTCAGCTCACTTATCAGAGTACCACGGAAAATGCTAGAGTCAGATATCTTATACTCTCAGGAAAGAGGTGTGTGACACAAAAAATCTTACTCTCCTGAGAGATATCTGACTCTCACTCAATCGGAGTCATAACTTGCGGTCCCCACCCAATGAGAGTGAGGTTTCTGACTGCGATTGGGCGAGGTCAGGGAAACCAAACTCCCCCAGAGTGAGAATTATGTGCATATGACTCAAATAGGGTTAGCCTTATAGTCATCGCTGCGATTGAGCGAGGCAGATTGTCTCACTCATTTCGAGCACGACACCTCACTCAAAGGTTTTCAGTGATTGGCTTTCTTAACGTTGCGGGCCTTAGAGAAGACCAGAGACTGCAAAACAAAGACAGAAGAATGTGCGTCAGATCGGACCAAGAAGTAAGTTGAACAAAGTTCCATGCTTTAGAACCAGATTTTTCGGCAGTAAGTTGTGGCTCACTTGCTTGCTTTTACAATTTGGTTTTACTTACACCGTAAATTTCCTTTGACAGCTTGTGCTGTTTGCCGTTGTTTTCCTTTATTCTTCTGACTTTTAGCCTGCTTCTGTTGTCGTTTCTCGTTTCTAATTCGTGTTACTCCTAATGGCCGTATCACTATGGAATCGCGGCGCAGTCTTCTAAGATCTGGTGTTACTTGATTAGTTGCCCCATCACTGGAAGCCAACGTTGAGTCATATTTGTTGCCCTAGGAGAAAGAAAAGCACTTAACACATTTGCCAGAAGGAGTGTTGAAGTTCAACAAGGTCCCTTTAAGCAGATGATACCTTACAACTGTACACTTAAAATAAACAAAACATAAGATTAAATGAGTAATGTGAAGTGTCAGCAGCTTTTACTATCATAAGAATATTTTTTTTAAACCGGAGCCAGAGCATAAACACTTTTTTGTACGGTTTGTAATTGATGTCAGAAGACAGTTTGGGAATAATTGGATTGTGGTGTGGTTACGTCACTGATTACAGACATAAACGTTAGAAATGAAGTATCGGACAGATATAAGACCAATATCAGACATCAGGAATTTTTCAATTCTATTCAGTATAAGACCAATATCAGACATCAGAAATTTTTCAATTCTATTCAGGTCGACATTAAAATGGTCCTGAAACTAACACATATCTGATATCTGATGACTGACATTTAGTTTCTTACTGGGTATGTAGTAAATTGAGACTCGTGAGAACCGCATATCATAAGACTCGCTGCAATCCCCTTCCATGTTTATGATCCCAGAAGCTTTAAAGATGGGATAAGGTGGTGGTGCAAAGAGGGCAAACTTCCCGCAGATTTTTTAAGCTTTGCTAGTTGCAAACATTACTATGCTAGCCATTTGGTCGTTCCCGTAGTTACTTTCTACCTGCCAGTGTTTTAGCGGGTAGAGGCCATTACTGGAAAAAGATAAAGAAAACTTCTGATAGTATTTCTCAGGGGTCCATAACGTACCACTTAGATGTAATCCAGACCAAGTCTCGTGCGTAACAGGCTTTGCGCTCTTACGAAACACCGTTACGCTGCGACGCGCCAGGCATACCTTTACCAGGGCCTGCGGCGCTTACACTCGAGTCGGGCAAAAGGCAGAGTCGTAAAGAAGCTATCGACCTCAAAAGTCACCAACTTTGGTCGACAGGGTTTTATATTTAGACCAGCATTTTAACCCTTTTTGAAGTTGAAGTTGCATTGTTCTAGCGGGAACCATCAGATACCCGAGGAAAAACAAATATTTGTTTTGGGGTAATTTCTGCGCCCAAACGGTTAAAGATAGAGCCAGACTGACAAAATTTTGGTACTTCGAAAATATTCAGAATCTAAAAGGTATTTTTTTTTTTTTTGACTGTCCGGTTCTCAGCCAATAGGGTATTTCGGGTAAGCGAAGCAGTGGAAACGGAACGGCTGAGCGGCTGCTGGATCCGTCTCAGCCTGCGAACTGCGCATGCGCAGTAGACTCTACGCCCCTCTTCCCTGCGGATTAACGGCAGAGATGCAACCAGCGGCGGACTGGGCAGTTCCGTTTCCGCCGCTCCCCTCACCCAAAATACCCTATTTTCGAGGTAGGGGGCTGGCTTTGTAAAGCATAAACTTACCCTGCGCACTTCAAAGACATCCGTTCTCGAGTTATTGTGATTGTAGACAAAGGCGCGAACCTTTTGTACAACTTTTTTTTTTCAAAACATCTTTATTTAACAATTCTTTGTACAGCTGTGGCTGTGCCAATAAAATATTTAGTTAATAACAATAAAATCAGCAATTGTAATAATAAAATAGTAAAAAGTTAATAATTTGCAGGTATACTTCATTTGGTGGAGTAGTGCATTGCAATGGAATTTAGCAAAATAACAATATTTAGAATGTTCTTCAGATCTTAAGAAAAAAAAAGAAATTTTTGGAGTACTAGGCTTTGCTATAGCTCAGCCAATGACACAAACGTGTGTTAGTTATATAACGTAACAAGTCACATGTCAAAGTAAGAGTTCAAGTTATAAATTCGCAAATATGTCAGATTTTTGTCGTATATATGTACTGTTAAAATAACTGACTTATTTTCAAAGGACCGCAGTAAATTTACTGCACTGTTTTCTGTTTCAGGTCCCACAATGGAACCTTCTCTGTGGGAGAAGGCCGTACAAGAAAAATGTAAGTTAAATTTTGGCCATTTGTATCAGTTTACGTTACGCACGCAGGCTGTTACTTCTCGTACGCGGTGCAAGACGCTTTTTGTTACATCTGATTTCATAGTCACAGTGCGTATATTTGCTGGTTAGTTTCGTTTTCAGATTTTGAAGACGTTTGGCCTAGATCCAAAGACTATGAGTTCAGGGTTAATCCCAAAACCAAGGTTATGAACGTCATAAACCGTATAAATGCCATTAGGACGTCGCTACGCAGAGCACCCGACGGTCATATCATTTTTGCGGGGAAGGCTGGGCTGAAAGTAAAGTTCGTTGTAAGTTTCGACTATATTTTTTACAGTGGGTGGTTTCCTTCTTGCAACATAACTGACGTTTATATGAAACTTTTTTGTTGTGTTTCTTTTTTTATAGTCTGAGTATGCAGTGCTAGATAGAGAGAAACCATGGGATAACCCTTTGCTTAGCAACGATTTGCGGTTTTTCAACTTGCTACAATACGTAGCCCTAAAATACTTCCTGGGGTTGGGGTTTACTCCCATGCTGCCGGAAGGAATGTACTACCCGACTGCATTTGCCCAACTTAACAAAGAGGGGATGGAGTTTCTCCAGACAAACGGCTTCAGTAAGTATAACTCAAAAATGCCCCTTTGCTTAAATAGCAAAAGTCAGGTCTTCGCTTTTTGCTGTTGTAGCAAACAGCAAAACCTTTCGTTAAAACAAAAATATTTTTGCTCCAGCAGCAAAACGAGAAGACCTGACTTTTGCTATTTTAGCAGAAGGGGCCTTTTTTCGTGAATGAACGTCATTCTCGTGCGTGTTGCCATTTCGAACTGATGAGGGAACGTTTTTAGACTGATGTCATTATTCTTTTCAGGCTTTCCACAGGCCCCTCAGATTAGTGTCGAGGATGTTCCGTCCGACCTCACGGCATCCGTACCCCTCAAAGAAATCCTTGATAAGTATTGCCTGTTTTCTTTCAAGTTAAAGCAGTTATAACTTCATCTCTAGAAATAACGTTAAAGGTACTTGAGTTTAAAGTTACGGAGCCCTGGTATTTCTGCCGAGTGAAAGCGTAATGAACCTGACACATACGACAAGCTTAGCTCACCGAAAGGTTAGGATTTGCAGAGCGTTTCTGAATCTCGGTGAGGCCATGGATCCGTTCTTGCGATTCGTGGGAAGTAGAGAAGTGTACAGCCGTTGTGAAAACAAAGGCTAGCACCAGTATCTAAAAGAAAAATGTTAGTAAATCTAAGGAGTGGCTGGCTCCGACTGGCTGATAGCCCCTTATTCTTTCGGATTACAAAACATCCAAATACTTTTGCAAGCTACAGAGCACTGCTTTTAAAGACTTCAACATAACGTCTTGACAGTTTTACTTTACCCATGTCGGTTGCATCGTGCTGTTGTCCTCGCGACGCGACCGACGGAGGTGTTCTGCTGAGCGGTGCTGCAGCTGGTCTCTCACTGCGATGCCTTGCTTGTCTTCGCCATTCGCGTACGGATGTTAACACCCCTTCCACTCTTCACGCCGCTTGCGACTTTCTCTTTTGTTAGCTGTTCTGAGAGAGTAGACCAACAGTTCTCAACCTTCCTTAGCCCGCCATTCCGAAATAGACCTAATATCTTTTTGCGACCCCGATTTTGTCCCTCGCGACCCCGCGGTTAAGAACTGCACGCTTCTGATTGGACCTGCGCTGGGCGGCTCTCTCGGTTAACCTAGCATTGTCCCCGGCCCTGGCTGCTTAATTAAATTGGTTTATGTTATCATTAGACAGGGAAGTGGGTTGAGGACCTTTCACTTTTGATAGTTGACGGCTGCCGATACCAGGCGCTCTATCTCGGCGACGGGCAGTGCTGTCAGTGTAACTCCGACCACCGGTGCAACATGACACCGAGACAGCTCAAGAAAAGAGGTATCCAAAAGGCGGGCAACTTGTGTTTTCTTCTGTTTTTGTATTTAGTGCTTGTGTAATTTTAAAGGCGTTGATGCACATAGTTTTAGGTCCTATGCCATTTCCGGTTTTAAGAGTGGACTACGCCTGAACGTTTGGAATTTTATCTCTGTTCATTCAGCGTTGATGGTGGGGGCGGTCCTAGGTGGAGTGATATTCGCTGCAGCGTTTGCTGCTTACTTTGCTTTTGGTGGTTCGAGCTATGAGTATGTTTCTTTCTACACCCTTTCCACTTTAAAGCCAACCGCGCTGGTTTGATACTGTAGCGTGGTACTGCTTCCACTTCAGAGACTCTACATCACCACGAACCCTGTCACCCCCTGAGGCCAAAGTTACCGAGGGCACACTGCGTGGAAAATGGGCCAACATTCCCGACTACTCCGTCCAATACGCAGCTTTCCGAGGGATCCCGTACGCCCAGCCACCGGTTGGAATGTTGCGGTTCAAGGTAACGGTAACAGCCTAGTGCCTAAAGCTTACCACAATTTTAGCAGGTGATACATAAGAAAGCATTCCGGCAAAGCTGAAATGCAAAAGAATGTATGGAACTCACCATGTTAAACAGTGACTTCCGTTTTCTTCTTCCCCGCTATCCTCTGCATTTCAGCTTTACCGATATGATTCATGTAAAAAGCACTCGGAAGATGTTGCACCCCCGAATCTTTCGAAAAAGGAGTTTTGGGGGGAAAGAGTTAAGAAAACGACATACGAAGGCTGGAAGCCGCGTCCTAACAACAAGATTATATCTGCAGCGTGCCGAATGAACAAAAGTCTACTTGCAAAACGAGATTGGGTGCAGTTTGTGTGGTTTGCAAGTAACTGGAAGACATTCGGGGCAATCTGACAAGGGGCAATACGGAGAGAATCGTAAAGGCCCAATGACTAATTATTGACTGCAAAAGGTTAAGTAGAACGGGCCCGAAACCCGCGTTTTGCAGATAGACTTTTGTGTTAGGCGTGCTGCAGATAGGATCTTGTTAGGACGAGTCGAAACGAAGTATATTTAAGTGTATTAGTATTTGCGCTCGACCCACACACAGCTTATTCGAATATGACCAACACTTTTGTCACCTGGCAGGCTCCTCTCCCACCTGCAATGTGGTCCGGTGTGCGGGATGCAACTAAGGAAGGCTCGGCGTGCATGCAGGTCAGCGATTTCGCCGAGATAATTGGGTCAGAGGACTGCTTGTATCTGAACGTGTACTCTCGTGGGCGACCGAACGTGAGTATCTTTGAAAATAAAAATGTGTATTGGCAACACTGTAAACGCCGTGGTCTACTGGCTTGCCAAAATGTTGGCAGCCGTTTTTTTATTGCCAAATTTTGGGTGTCTTTTGAAGCTGCTAATTTTTTGCCCCTTTGCGTGACTTCTTTTGAAAGAATGCCAACTTTTGGCAAGCAAATTCACTGATATATAAATTGTGCAACTGACACACACTTTAAGGTGTTTAACACCGTGTCGCACACTTCTATGTGTGCAACACGAGTTCTGATTAGTGGGAAGTGTTCAACAGGTGTAATTGCACACTTTTTAGTGTTCAACTTGAGCGTTGAGCTATAGTGCTCGTCAGTCAGGTTGAACATTTAAAAGTGTGCAACACACCTGTTGAACACTTCCAACAATTCAAAACTCGTGTTGCACACATAGAAGTGTGCGACTCGGTGTTAAACACCTTAAAGTGTGTGTCAGTTGCACACCTTATCAGTGAAGATGCCATAGATTGGCAATCAAGAAGGATGCAAATTGGCCAGGCAAAATTCGCCTTTTAAGAAGAAAAAATGTTTCCTAGTCTGAAGCAACCTACACTCTAAATAGGAAAGGGCATTTTTGGATCCAGCAAGGATGTGTTCTAACGCACATCTCCATGGGATGCAATATTGTTTCGAAGCTGGAGAGACAGAAGTTATTTGTTCTTAGGCTAGGTAGTGCAACTTGTGATTTTTCAGATGCAAATGTGCATGCAGTGAAGATGTACTTTAGAGACTTAAGGACTCATCTTCGCTGGCTACAAAATGGTCCTTGCCCATTTAGAGTGTAACTCGACCGCAGTGTTATTTTGCTAGGGTGTGCTGCTTCCCGTGTACGTCTTCATTCACGGAGACGTTAATCGGTCCGGCTCAGGCACCGACTTCGGCCCGGAGTTGTTTATGCGCCGTCCAATAGTGGTAGTCACAATCAACTATCGTCTGAACGCATTCGGTTTGTAGTTGATTTGTACCGCCTTCTCTTGGAAACATCCTGAACATATTTTTTCAAATATCCTGTGTTGCATGGTGAAGGCTTTCTCAACCTGGACAACGACGTCGTCCCCGGGAACGCCGGTATCAAGGACCAGATCGCTGCGCTAAGGTGGATTCATGCCAATATTGACAAGTTCGGCGGAGATCCAAGTGCCATCACGATCGGGGGGCAGTCAACCGGCGCTGCCTCGGCACACTGGCTGACTCTCTTGCCTGAATCGAGAGGTAAGAGCCGAAGAATTACCTTGGTCTTTACGTTTATTCCACTTCTGCACTCCGGCAGCTTTGCTTGCAATCATATTGGTATCCGTATTGGATGGCCACTTATCGGTAATATTTTATTAGGTCTCTTTCGCATCGAAAATCTTGGTATCCTCTAAAAGAATGCCATAAATAAGTATTCTAGAGAGCGAAAAGCTCGTCTTGGATGGAAAACAAAAATTTAGGCAAGCAAAGCCACGTGACGAGGGACAATAAGCAGGCAACAGCAGGTTCGCTAGAAAGAGAAAGGTTCACTGCGCGTCCCGAAATTTAGAATAAAAACTGAAACTGTCAAACATCAGCCAGAGGCTCGCTTAGTCACAGCGCTTCCATTCAGTCGCTGTGGAAACTCAGGTGCCGTGAGTATCGCAGTTAAACCCAAGTACAAAGGGGACTTTCTGTGTGATACATAAGTTGTGCTGCATACTTTAGTCCAGGACACCCCGAGTCCGACAGTAGAAATTACAGAAAGTGCAGGACCTGTAGCACACGTCGTGCCCTAACTGCTGGATAGCCACCTTGAAGGACTTTGATTCTGAGGAGGCACTATGGCTGATCCTCTTTAGTGGCCCTTCTTTCCGGCGATCCTGGATTGCATAAGAAAGGTACTAAACCATCCATTACTCAGGCCTCGTGAAAAGAGCCATTTTGGAGAGCGGGTCGGCACTCCACAGCTGGGCGTACCACGAGGACAACATTGCTGTGGCGCTGCAACTGGGATCCAACCTGTCGAAACACAAGGACGTTAGTCTAGAAGAGGTGGCTCGCCTGGTCATGGAGCGGCCCGCAGCAGAGATATTGTCTGCCACCGACTCGATTGAGGTACGTATCTTTGGAACGGGCGGTACAATCTGGTGCACGAAGATTACATAATGCCATGCTTCGCTTGCAGTTAAACGGCATACAGCTTCCTTTTTCTGCCTCTCCGGAGAGGAGGGCTCCACAAGAGGGAGGCCAGGTGCCACTAATCACCCAGGACCCAGAGAAGTACATCTTAACAGACAGAAGTCCAGTTCCTATTCTTCTAGGCATGAACTCGCGGGAGTGGCTCTTCAACTTTCAGTACCTCGGTGAGCATCCACAAGACGTTTTGCTTTAAAGCTCGAGGTATCTCGTAAAGTAATAAGCAAGAATGCCTTTAAGAACCCTTCCTTGACAGGATACGCTCGATCCCCGCAGTTAATACGCAACAAAATAAACAACCTGGTCTCCATCTTCCCGAAGAGCGTCATGCCAGGCAGCGACACGGCTGCGTACCTCAATCTGACCAGCACACACAGCCTGGAGCACGCGCTAGACCTTGTGCACCAACACTTCTTCAAAGATAACGGCGCTGACCCCAACAAAACATCCTCTGTTTTCCAATCGGTAGAGTTTTAGTATTTTCTTTAAATTTTACATTTGTGGCAGCGCCTAAAAGCGAGCAATATGCTCTTGCCCGCTGGATGGTAGGGAGACTTTGAAACGTACACGCCGCATCCCACCCTACCCAGCGAAGTTCAGCTGGCAGGCCAGCCGGTGGGTGAAAGCAGACCCGCCCTTCCGCTCAGCGAATTTGCCAGCTTCACTTTGAGCAGCAGGTCCTGTAAGATTCTCTCTTCAGACATGAAGGAATAATGTAAGGATGTGGCGCAGTGACAACACCTACCCCATCCCCTGCGCTTGTTTACTATATAATGCCTATTATATCAAAGTGGTCTAAATTTAAGCCGATTTTCAGAGCATTCACTGAAATGGATATCACTTAGAACAGTAGCTTTGGGGACTAGAACGTTCTTCAAAGTATTGTGTACAAAGGGAACAAGTGCACATCATTTTTTACCTAAATGGACGCTTTTTTGCAGTGTTAGTAAAACTACTTCTTCCGCATCAAGTTACGTGAATATACGGGACATTCTTTCAATTTAGAAAGTACCTATGAACAAATTGTCTTTGCATTGTATATGAAAATACTTGTTTACAATTAAAAATCTACAGGCGTTAACTGCTATGATTCCCCGGCGCTGTTACATTCCCTCGTTGGGACGAGCTGTTTAAAACCCGTCTGCGTCTCGTGTTGCAGTTCCTCGACGACGTCTACGTTGGCACCGACGTCAACCGCCTGGCCGAGCTGAGGGTCCGCGTGGGCCAGGGCCGCACGCAGACCTACGTGTACCGTTTCGGCGTCTGTGCCAAGTACAATACATCGCCCTTCCAGAACCCTGGGCAGGTCGCAGAGGGCGCATCTAACGGTGACGAGCTTCAATACCTTTGGTACCGAGGCAATCAAAAGTTCGAGGGTGACGGCCTAGCATCGACCACCCTAAATTACATGGTCGAAACCTGGTCCTTTTACGTCGGGAGCGGGTAAGTTGTTACGAGCGACAGAAGCATCCTGTCTCACCCTGTTTCCAATATCTCGACAGGCTGCGGGTAAATCAGGGGCGCACTGGTCCATCGGTGTCGGAAGCAGACTAGGTGGATGTGCGCCAGACCACGTCCCGCGTAACAGGCTTCGCGATATCTCATGAAACACCGTTACGCTGCGACGTGCCTGGCATACATCTACTCAGACACGCAGACGCGTACCTTGCTGGTCCGGAATTAGACACTTCGACGGTATAGTTTCGCTACCGCTCAGCCAAAAAATCACTCAGAAAATAGTGCTTCCTTTTTACTATTTAAATGGACTTTTAGGGGGTACCTCGGTGCAGTGGAATCTAAAGGACCAAAATGTTGCCCGTTTGGCTCTATCTCTAACCGTTTGGGCGCCGGAGGAAGTTCCCCCACACGAAAATAACCCAAGAATTAAAATGAAAAAAATCTACAGATATTTGATGGTTTCCTTTGGGTTAACGCGTCGAAGTGAAACACTACCATGCCTTTTGACCAACTCGGATGTCAGCGCCCCAGGCCTAGGGTTATACGCTTGCCGCGTCGCACGCAAACAATAGGGTATTTCGGGTAAGGGCAGAAGCGGAAACGGAACGGCCGAGCCGCTGCTGGACCCGTCTCAGCCTGCGAACTGCGCATGCGCAGTAGACGCTGCGTCGCCCCGCCGCCTCCCCCTCTCCCCGCGGATCAGCGGCAGAGATGCAACCAGCGGTGGACTGGGCAGTTCCGTTTCCGCCGCTCCGCTTACCCGAAATACCCTATTTAGTTGGAATACAACCCGACCACAAAGCGTCAGGAGTATTTGTTCTGCACGGGGCAGGTACTCCATGAAGTAGCTTTTGTATCCTATATTTTTTACTAAATGTGTGCAGCGAGAGTATGTCTCTGCACACAACTGTCAGTGTTTGTACTGGAAAACACTTACGTCACTTCCTCCATCTTTCAAATGTCAATTACCATTATTTCTAGCGAATGTTGAAACTTTTATAACTTCAATTATCCACGTCCCGCTGTTCGATTGTCCGTCCTTTCGTTCGACCGCTCTGAAAGAGATACACAGGAGTCAAGTTGGCCAAGTCGACTTGGCCAAGTGGGGATCAGCTTTGAGGAGCCGACTATGCACTTACCAAAATCCAAAAAAAATCCAAAAAAGCCCAAAAAAACACCCTGCTTAACCCGCCTCCCCTAA